GAGAGCTGCCAGAGAAAAGAAGGCTCTCCCCCCAGAGTGGAGAGAGCGGGGAGAGGGAGAAAGATGAGACACAGAGTGAGTGAGAGACAGCCCTGCCGATGGATGGATGGCCGGAGCCTGGACTCGGCCTCCAGCAGTGAGACAGTAACTTTCTGCTGGTGGAGATGGATCCTCTCTCGTTACCTACCCCAGCGCCCGAGGGTGCCTGATACACACAGCAGGCACCTGGGGAGGGGCATGGGCAGATGACAAATGCCGAGGACAGTCCCTCAAGCTCATCCTCACATGACAGCAGAGAGCACGTGCCCAGTGGGAGCCAGGATGACCTTCTGCCGACGCCCTGCCCCCACCCCAGCTGCTCCTGCACTTTGAACAAACAGCTGGCATGGGCTTCATGGAGACAGGGCCACCCTCCCTCTCACCACAGGCAGCGGGCAGGACCTCACCTTGCGACCCTGGGCATTGTCCGGAAGGTAGCACTGGCGGGGAAACCCCCTGGCAGTGAACGGCTTTCCAGGGTTGGGATGTTCGGGCCCCTGCAGGAAGAGCACAAAGACCAGGAATGGAGCAGCGTGAAGAAGGGCCCGTGCCTGGCCAGCTGAGGGGTGCACTAGATGAGGAACCCCAGCCCTTGCCTTCCTGGCCAGGGCCTGCTCTTGCACTGAAGGAACTAAATAAATGTCTGCCTTCAACGCAGCCCCTCAAAGACCCCACGCACATGTCACCCCCCCACCCACAACCACCCTCCCCAGTGAAGTAGGCGCCCTGCAGAGGCTGGGACATATCCTCTCAAGTTCTCAGCACAGTCCAGTGGCCTCACTGGACTGAATGGAGGACCTTCCTTGATGTAGCCCACACACCAGCACACAACCCCGCCTGTCAGCTGCTCCCTGGCTCTCAGCACCGCCTGGGGCAGGGGAGCCCCACACAGCAGCACCAAGGGGGAAGGGTGAGGGGCTGGGGCAGCGGACAGATCGGTCATGCTCCCGCCCTCTGCCACACCAGCGACAACAGCAACTCAACACACACGCCCACGCTCTGGGGCTCTAGCCCTGTCTGGAATGTGTTACTATTCCTTGGAGGGAAGTGGAGGAAAAGGGGGAAAGCACATGATTAAACAGACCAGGTGAACAGACACCCCACCTGCTGCAGACTGGGCCTGCTTAGCTCCCAGTTCCCATAGCATTGTGTCTTCCCATCCTGTCCCAGGCTTGGAGATCAACCCTGGCCTGAAGCAGGCGACCTGAAGGGCCAAGGCTCCTGTCTGAGTCTCCACTAGGGCCTGGTGCTTGGCTTTCTGTCTTGTTCCTGACATTCAGATGCCACCCTACCACTCCAAACCCACACCTGAGTCTGGGTCTGTCTTTCAAGAACGGGCTCCTGACTCTGGAAAGACGGCGGTATAAACAACCATTGTTGCGACTCTCACCCACAAACAGAACAAGGACAAGGAAGTGGGACTCAGCCGGGAACCACTGAGAGGGAGGAATCAGCAAATCAACAAGTCACGTTTGTATGAAAAATCTCTCTCCCACCGTCCCTGCTGCTCCCCGAGCCACGCAGGCCGCTGGGTGCTGAGAACTGGGGTGGTGGCCCCAGAAAAAGAGCCTGCTTCCCTAACCACCCACAGTCCCTGCCTGTACAGAGAGACAGGATCCCACGCTTCTGCCCTCCAGTCAACAGGGAGGCCTTTCCCAGGGATCCATTTGGACTGGCCAGCACCTCCCTCACGCGGAGGCCACAGCCCCAGGCTTACTGTGAACTGCTACAGAAGGCCCCTGCAGTGGCGTCTGCTCCCAGTAAACACTCCAGCTGCCTCGCTGAGCAGCCCCTAGCTCAGGCCCTGACACCAACAGGACAGGCCTCCTGGGGAATCAGCTAAGGCCTGTCTGCTTCCCCTTACCGCTGGTGCTAGGGCAGCTGACTGAGGCTGCTGTGGGCCAGGAAGCCACACCCACAGCCATCATATCAGCACAGGCTCTGACAACAAGGCAGACCCCAGGGGCCCATTCAGTGGGACTACCTCCCCCAAAAGGTAACTGTGGGACACTGGACTGATACAAACTCCTCAGAAGGTTCCTGACAAGTCAGGAGGTGGGTCACCTGAGTACAGCCTGCTTCCCCAACCACCACAGGGCCACTGGGGCTTTGAAGCCAACAAGACAGATCTCTCCAAGGTCCTGCTAGGGAGTGCCAGCCCCTCCTCCTCCTGAAATGGACAGAAGTCTGCCCGTGCTTCCCCTGAATGCCGGCTCAGCTATAAGCCATTCCCACAATGCAGGGAAAGAAAGCGTGGGCAAAACTGAAGGGCAACAACTAGGTCCAAAGACACCTCCCTAGGTGTTTTCTGACTGAAAACATGATTGTAGAAACAGAAGGGAAGGGAGTAATAACCACAGACAGGGGACAGTGCCCCCTGGTGGGTACACTGAATATTAACCAGTATTTCACCTGAGTGGCAGTGCCCACTGGTGAACAAACTGACCACAGGGTTATCTCTGGTCTGTTTGTGAGAGATTGAAAGTTGAAAAACAAGATCTGAAGCTTTCAAATTCCAATAAAATCAAGGTGGGAGAAGAAACTGTATCACAGAGAGAGAGAGGAAACAGTAAGCAAAGGCCAAAGGACCTGCCCACATAAGAGTTTCTTACATAAAATAGTGTGGGTATGAACATCAAATACTAGGAAAAGCTGAGGACGTTGATTAACACCTTTGAAAATTCCAATGCCCCAACAAAAAATCACGGGACACAAAGAGCAGGGAAACAATGGCCCATCCAAACGGATCATGAAGAAGGGCGTGAAAGCACATCCAGGGATGACCAGACAATAGGAGGGGAAAAAAAAAAGGAAGAATATAACACCATGTTGAACATAATTAAAGAACTAAGGGAAAACAAAGACAAAAAGCCAAAGCAAATAAGGAAAACAATGTAAGAACAAAATGAGGTTCTGAAAAGAAATACTGCAATCGAAAGAGACAATAACTAAAACGAGAACAAAAGAAGGACTTACCCTCAGATTAATCAGACAAAGAAAGAAGCAGCCAATTAGAGGATTAAATAGTTAAAAGATAGAGGTGCTGGAGAGCAACCGACAGACTCATCAGACAGAAGAATCAGCCAATAGGAGGGTAAAATGGTCACAGATGAAGAGCAACAAGAACAGAGGCTGAATTCAGTGCAACCCCAACTAAAACTAAGCCTTCTGTACAAAAACAGAAAAACCTAATTAACTGTGCATGGAATGGAAAGAAGCAGGGAACTGCTAACGTCATGTTGAAAAAGAAGAATGAAGTATGAGGACTCATACTTTGTGATTTCAAAACATGCTACACAGCTGCAGTAATCAAATCAGCCTGGTCCTGGTTCAACCACAGATACAAAGGCCAAGTGAGCAGAAATGAGAGTCCAGAAATAAACCCATACATCTGTGGTCAACTGATGTTTGACAAGGGTGCTAAGTCCATTTGATGGGGAAGAATAGTCTCTTCAACAGCAGAAAAATCTGGATTTCCACATGCAAAAAATGAAACAGGATCCCTGCCTCACACCATACACAAAAACAAATTCCAAATGGATTAAGGAGCTAAGTGTGCAAACTAAAACCGTAACACTCTATAAAGAAAATGTAGAGCCAATGCTGCCATTGATTTTATAACCGACTGTTCAATATAACAACAAAAGCACAAACAGTGAACAACAAAATAAATAAATGGGACCACGTGAAAAACAAAAACTTTTGTTCACTGAAAGACTTTACCAAAAAAATGAAAAAATAAGCCACCAACTGGGAGAATATCTATGGAAGCCAAATATCTGACAAGAATCTAATGATCAAAATATGTATAAAACTTTGGCAAGACATATAACCCAATCATAAAATGGGCAAAGGATTTGAATAGATATTTCACAAAGAGGAGATTCAAATGGCCATCAAATACATGGAAAAAAGATGCAAATCAAAGCCACAATGAGATGGCATTTCACTCCTGTTAGGATGACTAAGATTTAAAA